TGCTCAAAGCATCAACGCATCACCGGCAGGTGGGGATTGGAGAGAGAAGCAAATGGGATTGTCAATGAAGAATAGCCAAGATTTAAGGAGAAATAGTTAAGGAAAGATAAGAAGCGAAATGCTTCGACTTCGACTTAAACAACCCGATTAAAAGGCATTTTGTTTAATAAAAAATAGTTTTTTTTTTCAATATAAAATTTCTCTTCTTCAAAAAATGCCAACAGTTCCAATATACCACAATCTCAAAATGAGTTACCAGAAATTATAAAAAACGAAACACTTTCCATTCCACTTCTACATATTAAGCTCACGCCTCCGCACACGGCTCTTGTGCCTCCATTTCCATGCCGAGCATCGTACAAACAAAATAGACCAAGTGATCGATAAATCCACACAGGGGTTCATCGAGAAATGGGCCAAACACCAATGGTGTTATGCGCTCATTCTCACCACGCATGGAACGTGGTGTCAACATATCCACCACACGCTTGGGCAACACCGCACTCAAACTTTCACAAATTTGCGTCTTCAAACTGTTCGAGTTACCACCGCCACCTGCCGCTCGCCTCAGACTAAGCGTTCGCTTTATCCAATTCTCACCACCAACATTTTTTGTTGTTATATCGATGCCACCGTCTGGTGTGGATTTGATGGTGCAAAGCGATTTTTCGCCTGCAGTTGATTTCAAATCCATTCCACCCATTTGACGTTGCAATTGTTTGCGATGATCACGATCCAGAAAGACTACGTAGCTCTCGCCGCGTCGCAGACACGAACACTTCGCTTTCAGATTCGGTTCGCCGATATCATTTTGAATTTTATTTATATTTTTTGCACATAAAATTTTTATAATTTGATCATTGAAGACTTTTCCCATGTTTTCCACAGTTTTGAACTTTTGTTTCTAGTGAATGCTTGAAAGGAAATGCCTTGTAACGAGCAAAAATCGTTGATGATGTGAGTATTTTGTTCGAATAGAGAGCAAAATTATGTAGTCGACTATAAGATGTGAGAGATAAGGTATTTTTTGCGGAACTTATAAAGTCGGAATCAGCGGTCTTAAGGAGAGCCTAAACAGCTATTGATCGAATCTGCGTTGGCATCTAAAAAGGCGCGCTACCGTGAAACAACTCTCCATCTGAATAGACTGAAAAGCCTTTTTGCGCTGGAACTTTGAGAGTAATTCTCGTCTGAACTAGCCTAAGCAGCCTTTACACGGGTCGTACTCTATAGGTTATGACAACATTCGGTTAGGATAAATTAGGATAGAGTAGGTTTGTTTAGGAGCAAATACCGTCTGACTGAATCTTCTCCCAAGGTGCCAGCTGGGCAAGGCACTTCAACTTCTCCGGACGGATCTTTAATCCTGGCATTCGCAAGTGATCATGGTTTGAATAAAAGGTGGGTAAGGCCAAAGGTTCATGCTGAGTACTTCGGTAAATAAGGGCAAAAGATCTAATATTCTGAAGGCAACCTCTCACTTTCACCAGCGATGGAGTTCAGGTGGCCATCGGTTAGACAAATGCCTACAATGCCCATCCCTGCTGGTCACTCTCCTTATTCCTGGTATGTAGAAGTCTGGCAGTGGGATCCCATAACTGAACCTATAATATGAAGCAACAAAGAGGAGCGTACAGCACTTGCTCCCTAAACACACAGGAAACTCGCGATCTTAACCGAAACAGTCCTGCGAGTTAGTTGTCTTATTAGCTTTGAGCTTGGCATAGCTCTTCAACGCTATTTGGTCACTGGTCGACAGTCGTCAGGAATTAAGGGTGAAATATCGATCCCAAAAATAATTAAACTGCTTGGTGTCCTCTTCCAAATACTGTTTAACTTCTACTTCTCGAATGTTCCTTAGCTAGCACAGGCTTCACTGATCTGACTACTCGACGCAGCGCAGGCGAACAGCTTCCTCGAAAAACCCGTATAGCTTTGGCGCAACAAAGGCTTGGATAATGGAGCTGGCTAAGCTCCTACTTATGTCCGGCTTGTGCTCTTCACTTGCTCCCCGCCACAACAGGTCTAGCAAAGGCTGTTGTAAAATACACAAATACAAGTTCTCGTCTAGTGCAAAGCGATAATGTGAAGCTGAGTATCCTCAGCTAAGTGAGGCGCGGCACAAAAGTCGAACGTGTACTACGAACCTGTAGTCTGTATCATCACAAAGTCGTATTTTATACCATAACTAGGTCTTAGACCCTCGCGGCTAAGGCTCAGTGACTTCGCGAGAGGAAATTATAAATCTCTTGTATGGCCTTTTACTGCTTGACATACGCCAATGGGCTACAACCGCAGANACTAAGTGAGCGGGCGGCACAAAAGTCGAACGTGTACTACGAACCTGTAGTCTGTATCATCACAAAGTCGTATTTTATACCTTAACTAGGTCTTAGACCCTCGCGGCTAAGGCTCAGTGACTTCGCGAGAGGAAATTATAAATCTTTTGTATGGCCTTTTACTGCTTGACATACGCCAATGGGCTACAACCGCAGAGTCACCTCGCCTTTTTAATATCGCTGCCATGTAAAGCTTGGTTGTGCCGCAGAAGGGGCAGCCAAATTGGACTACACATTTCGCGAGAGTGTCAGCCCTTTCGTTGCCAACAAAGCTCTTATCAGCTGGAACCCACCACAAGGTAAGCTTAGGCAGTCCAGTACATTTTTGCAACTCTCTAGTACAATCCTTGACATCTTTTTATGCGGATCTAAAGCTCTTATTGCTGTCTAGCGATGGCACAATTGCGAAAATTTCCCTACAAGCGTCCCTTTCAGGATTCATGCGTGCAGAAAACGGCACTCAGACTACATNTATACGAATTCTTAGGCAGTCCAGTACATTTTTGCAACTCTCTAGTACAATCCTTGACATCTTTTTATGCGGATCTAAAGCTTTTATTGCTGTCTAGCGATGGCACAATTGCGAAAATTTCCCTACAAGCGTCCCTTTCAGGATTCATGCGTGCAGAAAACGGCACTCAGACTACATTCTGTCCATTGCATTGTTCTGGTGCTCCCTTTTTATCCGTTTTAAATCTACATGATTTGCGAATAAATCAGTTTATATTGTTGGGTGTTAAAGAGCTCAGGCTGCCAAACGTGTCATACCTACAACATACCGTCTCTTGCTCTTGAAACTAGGTGTTGATGCTTCGAAAGCGACCAGTCAATAGTCCCAAAAATTGGCTACATTTCCATTTGCTTAATGAAAGCAAATACCTAGCAAGACCCTTTGTGATTGCGGGCAACATGGGTTTGGCCCACCAGCAGCCTCTCGAAGTTTCCCAGTCATTTCTGAGCAAAATATTCACCCAATTCCTGACCGAAGATGAACTGGTTGCGGGCCGAGGAATAACTAGCAATTCTTGCTACGACGGCTGATGGGATGGCCAGGTATGGCTCTGGGATGCTAATACACGAGGCATAGAACTCTTTTCAACCACCGCTTATCGACCATTTAAGAAATATTGGTGAATGCACCATAGCCGTTACAGACAACTTAGGGGCCAAACGAGGTGTTTGTGAAAACTCAGCGACACGCAACAGATCACCAGAAAGAGCTTTTACCGGCTACAACCGAGATGAGAATGGCGTATAATCAATTGACTACCTAATGTCTCGATGTCTGGGTCTGCAGTCAAAGCGACTCTAAACAACTGGGTACATGCTTCTTCACTAGCCCAGCCGTAATAATGGGCCTTTTAGATCTTCACAATATCATTTAGGATAGCAGTGGTTCAACCGGTTAATATATTGATCATTCCTTCTTTTTTCTTGAGGTTATAGGAATGTGCTTCCTCTAGGCACTAATTTACAGAGAACAATTTATGTATCTGAATGAAAGTATGGAACTCTCCATACAGATCTTCCTAATCTAATCCAACCTACTGTTTTATATTTCTTTCTCATTTCATTTCGTCTTTTCACGTATGCTCGCGCTAGCGTTTTTCAAACAGAGCTAACCGCCATAATGGTGGCTCATAACCTCCGAGCCTCTAGGACGGCTTATCGTTATTCTGAACTAATCGAGGAGGTAAAGACCAGGTGGGCTGTGGAAACCACCTGCCATACTACCAGGGAAATTTGACCACCAGATTGGTGTCCATAGCTCAGATTCGTAGTCGAGGTAATCACCGGATACTGCCTAATCGGCACACACGAAAAAAAGGTTAGGATACCCCACCAACGTAGGATACCCCACCAACGATTGCAGAGACGAGGAAGAGGTGGAGAGCATCGAACACTGCCTTTGCCATTGTCCCACCTTGGCCAATACGCGCAACCAATCATTCAACAAGTACTTTCTATATTNCAACGATTGCAGAGACGAGGAAGAGGTGGAGAGCATCGAACACTGCCTTTGCCATTGTCCCACCTTGGCCAATACGCGCAACCAATCATTCAACAAGTACTTTCTATATTGTTTAGATGACATGAACTCGGCGGACGTCTTCGACTTTTTGTGCTATGTAAATAAAACGCACTACGTGGTTCAATTACTATGGGGGAGCGAAAGAATCAAAAGGCTTCGGCCAGTGGTATCACAACGGGCTTTTCCAGCCTACCTGTGCTCCGTGCTCTGCGCGAAAGGACTCTTCCCTACTGTCCCTCCTACTGATCCAGCTTAGTTTGATCCCATCGCCTTAAACTAGCGACGGCAGGAGGCAGAGGGAAATGATATTTTGTTTTGTGAACAAAAAGCGTAGCAAAAAACTTATCCAAAGTGATGCTAAGAACAGTGGCGAGCAGATAGAGCTTTTATTCTATACGCGTCCGTATACCAATGTTAAGAAAGCTTTAAAAAAGTTCTCCGCCCGGATGCTGAATAATGGATTAAATTTCTTAAAAGCACAATAATTGTGTATTTATATTAATAAGTTTCTACATTTAAAAAAGTTATATATTACCAAAACGTATACATAGACGGCGAAAGGACAAAATCCACCATTTCACTTCCTCTTTTTTTCTCCTTCAGAGACAAACACTCTCTCTATCTCTTTCTCAGTGAGACGGCAAAATTTCGAATGGCATTATAACGCCATTTTGCAGCACAACAAAAATAACTTGCGGAGTTCGCTTCTTCTCGAACTCCGACGGATGGGTGCACACATTGGTATTCTTAAATATTTCATAGATCTGACAGCCATTTGAGGTGGAATGCAGACGCGCCCAATGCCACTTTGGCTTGCAGCCGTCTTTCGGTGGAAAGGTAAGCATTTGCTTCAGCTTCCGGCAAGCTAACGAACACAATGAAAATGAGCGCCTCAATGGATTCGAAGATTTGGGTGGTTCACATATTTGCACACGCGACATGCTACTTTTCGTCGAACACGCCGACGAACTGCTGCAACAGCAGAGCTTTTTAGAGAAGATCATTGTTTTCACAGTGCTGGCGCGACATTTGGCGCAGCTGCAAGTTTTTGTCATCTTCAAGCAGCTGGGCAATTGTCGTTTGTTTTTGCTGTCTGCGGGCGGAAGAAATCAAAGCGACGAGTTTTTAGCAACAATACTTATATGTAGTTTCTCATTTCAATAACTCACCTGTCGTTATAACGGTATTGCAAACACGACATGATCTATGTGATTCGGGGCAAGATACCTGCGACACTGTTAGCGATATATCACTGTTGCTCGAGTCCATGGAGGGCGTTGGCAAGTGCAGGAACTCCTGCACACGTCGCGCACCCATCAAATACAGCGCACGATCGATGCCAGATACAATGGTTTCGTCGGGAAATGGACCAAACGCATCGTATGCGGGCAGTGAATTCTTTTTTAGCGTACGTGCGATGAGCGGATAAGCGGGCACTGGATCCTCGGTCTGACACAAAGCGCTACAAAGGCTCTGAAGGTTTGCTTGAGCCATATGGAATGTGTAAATTCTGGGCGATTTTCGCGAGATTCGATGTTGGCGATAATACTGGGAAAATTTTGTGTAAAAAGTAGTTATGTTCGATACGTTAGTCTCAGCTAAGCTTAGTAAATGTAGTTTCGTTATTTTCGGTTGATAAATTTTGAATATTTTAACATATTTTCTGTATATGTTTTGAAAATAATTTTGACGACTTTTTGTGTCTCGAAAAGAATGAACAAATATATGTGTGTACGCATGTGACATTTGATGCGTTCATCGGCACTTGTAAACATTGGTAGAGAAGTCGGTAATTAATTTTAAAAGTAGTAGTAGGGAACCGATAAAAGTAGTTGTTTTCTGGTGACTGAGGAGATAAGAAAGGGATGGGCCGCGCTATGGTTCAAAGGCGTCACACAATAAAAAGCTAATCGCAGATGGTCTCTGAAGGCCAGTTGCGAGGAAATCCAAGCAAACGCTTGGGAACCCAAATACATACATATTTGGCACCTCGATGGCCTTGATGTTTTAAAGATGAAAAGTTATCATAACCGAAGTGCACTCGGCCAGGGTTTTTTAGAAAAACTTATTCAATATTTGTTGCACTTTCCTTTTTGTCTCATCGGGACCCCTTTTCCCTGGCAACATCGGTCGGTTGTGGTCGTACGGGTATGCTGGTAATGGCGGCATCCAACTTGGGCGATCGAGTCACACTCGAGGCCACGGATTCAGTCACTGTTTATGCATCAGGTAGCACAGTTGCTTGCCTGCTGCTTGGCAGAGGTCGGGATCCTTGTCCCGAAGGTGACTCGCCACCACAGGTCTCCGTTTGAGGAATCGGTTCAGGAGCTTTCACTTTGTCTCTGCTTGTAGATGGCCGCTCGTCCAGTTCAGGTTCAACCGAGGCAATAGCTTCCCTAGCCTGCTCCGTATTCTCGGTGACCTCCGCCTCTTTCGGCTGCTACTCTCTAGCACGCAACAACAATATTACGTGACGATAGCTATAGGCGGGCCTATCATTGAACTCCGTGAGCTTTATCATCGAATCATTGTCGAAGTATAGAAAGTAGCTTTGATGTTATTGTGTGGGACTTCAGTGCAAGGAAGGCGGCCTAATGTCCGACGTAGTGCTTAATGTGGAACGTCCACATACACCACACCAAAATCCATCTTTACGAACTGAAGGGACCCGGGACTCTTTAGACTGGAAATCAACGGCATTCACTGGAACTCTGGTACCACAACTTCAGTATTTCCGTCCTGTGAATACTGTCGAAAGAGTCCAATCACTATATATGTGGACGCTTGTGAGCTTCAACTGCCGAGAGAGACCCGCGCAACTCTGGCCCAATTACGTTGTGGATATTGTAACCGTCTCGACTTCTACCTAGCCAGACTCGATCCCAATATACCTAATTAGTGTCCAGCATGGGAGATCCACGATCCAGCACGAAAAATGCGTGTCTAGCAGGGAAGTAGGCAAATTTCTATAAGCCCTTATACCAGTCAGCCCTATGACGGTCAGAAAAAAACTATCGGAAATTTCATCGCCTTTTCCTAAGCACAGTGAATCCACAAAATGGTCCTCAATGTTATATACTCCGCGCGCAGTGCTTTAAAAAATGCTGAAGCTCGTGAAAAAATTGTTCAGGATCACTTCAGAAAAATGTGTGAAAGCCCTTCAAAATTTCCTGGTGAAAGCTCAGACGCATGCGAAGCTTTCAAAGATTTCCCTAAAATCTACTTTCTTCCTACATAGATTAGTCGGATTTCAAAATTCCCTTCCTCATTTTCCCCCACTGGCATCATTCTACCTAACTGAAGTTTACCCGAATGAAGCACCGAAACGAATTCGACGAATTGTCATCAAATTAAAACTCCAATTATTTGTATTAATGAGTGATTTCCCCAGCCGGCAACGTAGACTTTGATTTTCACATTAGCAGCGAATGCCAGAAATAAAGTAATTTATGTTAAAAAAAATTAAAATTGTAAAATAAAAAATAATGTCAATAAGCTGGAATCTTCAAAATTTAACGCAATTATTCTGGACAATCATTATTGTATTAAATTTGTACGTGGCATTGCTGTTGGTTCGCATGTCAAAAGTTTATCGCACCGAAAGGAGAATTAAACTACTTGAAACCGCCAACATCAGGGAACAAATCGAGTTTATGCGCAGTCGTCCTGACAAATCCGTTTCTTCAAACTTCTCACACCGGGGTAGTTTCACTACGCGTAGCCGTTTCTTCGAACAATTCCTCGACTCGGAACCGCCGCAACTCCGTTCATGCATGCGTGTGCGATCGAACTTTCGATCGAATTCTTCGACAACAGCTGCCGATGAAGAACCAGATGAACGACGTGACCAACGAGTAATGCAGGAACAACAACAACAACAACAACAACACCTGCATAAACGCTCAAAACAATTGCAGATGGAATTGCAGCGAAAGTATGACAATTTCCAAATACAGCAGCAACAACAACAACAGTACGAACAACGGCAGCAGCACCACCACCACCAACAATCACACCAAATGAATACTAAAGCTAGAAACCGTTATGAGCACATTGTAAAACATCAACAACCTCAACAGCTAAGAAACCCGAATGCGATTGAGCAAACAAGTTCCGAGGAAGCGCCACCCTATAATTCCAAACCCGACGATGAGCACACACTCTACATTTCGGATAGTTTTGGGCGTGTCGTGCATGAGATACCCTTTCGAGAGTGTGATTATATGGATGCTCTGCAAGTTGTGCTCGGCGATCAGCGCTGGAAGATTAAGAAAGCGTGGAATGAAAGCTCCAAAACAAATATGAGGAGAGTAAATTGAGCGAAAGTTGGAATGAAAAGTAGGAGTATACGAGTACAAATTTTGTATTTTGTAGCAATAATTTTTGCGGTATCTTAAATTATGTCTGCAACTGTATTTATGTTTTTTTTGTGTTTGTGTAGTCTACAACTTGTCTGGGTAATACTTTTGGAAGGACCATAATAAATGATAAAAGTTCAATTGGATGCAGCTTACGGGGACACCCGAGTGAAGATGGGGGATGTAACCATTGTAATATAGACGGTTTTAAATTAGGAACGAATGCATTTCAGGATAAGAAGATACATGTAGAGGGACCAGCAGACCATATCTTATTTATCATTTGGGAAAAGATATCCCTAGCCCGGAATACATTGCATGATCTTGATCAACATACAAATAAGTCTTACGATCTAGAGGGAATTTCTTGATCCACGGTGCGTATAAGCGGGGGAATACTGTAGGTTTACAGTGACTTACCACAGTCGTTCGAAAGACAAACGTCCTCTATCTT